AGTCCTCTTCTTTGAGAGCTGTCACCTGAGGATCTTTTCGAACTGGATCTTAAGCTATAGCTAGTTCTGCAAGAGACGGCACTGGAGCGACGGCAGTTCGGGCCGTCTCATCCAGAAGTTCCGAGTAGCTCGAAAAGGACCGGTAAGTACACTCCCAATCGCTGACATGGACGTGGAACCCCCGAGTGTGCAAAGCAAAATTGTCTTCCTGGAGTCTATTCTAGAATTCCATGGGCCGAGCAGGCTCAAAAAAGAAGTGCATGCCTATATAATATATGGTTGATACTTTTTACATATACTGTGAATATACACGCTCTGACAGAAAAATTTGAAAAGTGAATGGAACCATCCTCCACTTTGAAAATGACTCATAGTGCTTGGAAAGCACTCGAGTTAAGGTCCACCTGCACTACATCAGCCCAAGGTCGACGACTTGGCACAACATAGCACAGCGAGGCCCCAGTACAGCAACGTTCACCATAAAGGGACATAAATTGGGACCTGAAATCATCCTTGATTGGTCTCTTTACAGGTCTTAATGTCTTAAGATTTGTGTGGTAATGCAAGGGTTTCAAACTTTATGACCAAAGACCCGGTTGTGGCACATGGCATCCAAACCTATTAAAGATCTGTGCCCGAACGGAACGGTGGATGGTTTCATCACGTAGAGATCTGTCTCCCACGGCCACTCGTTGCGTCAAAGGAGCATGCACTCCGCGTTCGAAGTTCTCATCCCGCTCCCGTCTCTCCTGGCAACACGGGAGAGAAAAAAAACGCGCCGGTGGTATCCGGTGGTGCATTCCATGGCGTGAAACTGCGAGTTTGACTGGTGTGAAAACGTGCACGTTCGGAATCCAACTTGTTGCCAGGGCAAAGCCCTCACGCTCAGTGGTCCCAACACTCCGACTGCTAGCTGCTACAGCTGCTGCTGCTCCTACTGCTCCTAGCTGCCAGAGTTGCTCCTCCTTTTCCTGCTCCTACCACTGCTTTTACTGTTGCTGTTCCCGTTGTTGCTGTTGCCGCACAGCTTCTGCTCCTACTGCAGCTGATGCAGGCGACGCGCGTTTTGAAGGCCGAAGTGTGTTCTAAACGCAGGTTTCGGGGCATGTTTGAAATATTTCTGGAATTTGAGCAGCGCCTTTTGCCAAGTGGTTCACCGGCTCATGGGTTGCAAGATTTCTGTACTGCCAGCTGGACACATTGAATCAGCTGCGGGTTGGCAGAACGATATATATATATATACATACTTGTTGTGTGCTAATGACACTGGCTGGCAACCAACTTTTCATTGATGGACTTCCAGCAGCAATGTGTTTTTGAGTTTCAGCAATTTTGCTGACTTGCCCTTTGGGCTTGCGAGGAAGCTTGCGCGTATCAAACATGTTTGCACAACGCCAACCCCCACCCGCCCACCAGGATTGGGCAGCCTTCTAGTTTTAACTGTCTAAACTAAGGCTCGGCTTAAACGCATATGTTTAAACATGTTTAAACAAGTGCGTGTTCAAACCAAAGAGTGCATGCACGTTTAAACAATGGGTAGGTATATGGACCATGGACTAAAGTCTATGTCTATGTGTCGTCCTATATGTATTATATTATATAGTCATATATTAGTCTATAGCTGCTGTAATATTCTTGCACAACTGCTCAGCATGCCTGCCACCCCTTTTGGACGCTTGCTTTGGAAGATCACTTGTGGGGCAAGGAGAACCAACAGTGACTCATGATGAGCTAATGGGCGTGGCGCGGGAGCGGCTGTTCCAGGAGTTCTGAGTCGGGACGCTGTTTAAATGGCGTTTATGCAAGTTTAAACAGGGATTGTTTTCACGAACGGTTTTTAAACAGCTTCGGTTTAAACTGGGTTGATTCAAGGTTCCACCAGTTCCACTAAAGGAGTACCTCGAGTACTACGGGAGAGGCGCTTTGGCACCATCTTGATCTAGCAAAATGGCCACACATCAAACAAATATTTTAATCAGCGCTGAATCGGAATCATCATCATCGAGGCATGTCTAAACCATGTTTAAACAAAGCAAGCCCCAAAGCAGCTGTAAGCGTGTTTTAAAAGTTTACAGTTTAAACGGTTTAATGTGACAAATACCGTCTGAATCCTTCTGACAAAACTGTTTCAGGTGAACGATCCCATCCCAACCCTCCCAAATACTTTCTGACAACCTGTTGCACATGTAGCAGGAAAACGTCATTATCATTCATCCCCCACCACAACACACCCCGGCACCATCCCGTTTCTGCCTAACCCGACAGTCCACGTTTCTGTACGTCCACGTCCGCCCCGGTGAGTGGGGCGGTACCCTTAAACGAGGCGCAGCTCAAGGGGTTGCATCTCCTGAGCTGAAGGATGGTTTTCCGTTGGTGTGGAGCATGGGATCTGGGTATACTAAGCCTAGACAAACATGATCAACCATCGGTTGCCATCCGCCTTCGCTTTCGCCTTTTCGTACTCGATGGCCTTCTCACTCTTCGCCTCCCAAACGACCGTTTCGCAGGAAGCGATGCCACCGGGTGTCTCCCCCACAGGAACGGTCGGTAAGGGACAGTGTCCCTGACAGAACCGAACTGGTGAACTACACGGTGCACCTGGGGCGCCCTCCTCCGGTGGCCGCACGTTTGGCCGAAAAGACAGGGGATGACTCACTGCCCTGAGTGTCATTCGGCGGCTTGGTTTTTTCATTTGGGAGGAGTGGCGGTGAGCATGGACCATGGGGGAATGGTGAACCGTGGTTATGATGGACAAAAACTACACATACAACAGAGGTATGTATACAATGTATACACTCCCGAAAACTAACATAGACCCTTGACAATGGCTTCGTGGAAGAGTGTTTTCCTCTACCAAGCAGTGGTTTCCAGGGTCCATGTTAGTCTTCCAGGGTATACTTGACCACAGTGACAAGAACACCCACTGCCGCACTTTCCGCATGTGTCGAGCTCTCGACCGCTCCGAATGTGTCGCCGACGGAGTCGCGGGAACCGAGGTCGAACGGTGCAGGTTCTTTTTCAATGACGGCCTAGCATGTGGCGAAGCATGGTGGAAGAAAACGCCATGTTCGGATATATATGCCTAGCATATGTCTTAGCTAACATGCTTTTGAACGACATAGGCAAATCACCAGTGCAAGCTTGTGCGAACTCAGCTCGTATATTGTTGCAGTGGGCCCTTTTCTAATAAGCTGTACTGTATATGGTGCTTTGATGCGCTTTCATTGTCTTTGATTTACAGTTTGTGAACTCTGTGTCTTTCTCCCTCCCTCCCTCTCTCTCTGGCCCTACATAAGGACACAACGAAGAGGATGCAAGAGCTGACGCATGGGCAAGTTGAAAGTATCCGAAGTATCCAATTCAATGCCTGCTTTTTGAGCCGGCAACGCCCTCGCGTACGGAATCAAGTCTTCTAAACATAGCGGGGCCACCTCTTCATGTGATGTGTTCTCATGATGCCTGTATTTGTTGTTCTTTTTAGGTTCTTGGTATCTCGATCAGTTGGTCAATGACTGTTTTTGGTCTCTCAACCCCTTGGTTTATCTTACACTGAAAACAATCATAGCTACCGTGGAATACAGCCGCGTGTCGTACCAGGAGGTCGCCCCGGTCGGCCTTCGGCGCCATGGCGGGGAGCAACACATGGTGGCGGAGCGGCCGTGTCTAGTGGCAAGTGCAGCGTTTGGCTTTACATGGCTAGTGACTAGGAAGAGTCGGTATGGGTCTGGGTCCGATCTTCTCAAACCGTTTTTTCTAGATAGAAAGAACATGGAACATGTGACATGTGAAAACTTAAAACCAAACAAAGAGAACAGAAAACAAAAACTTTTCGGATACTTTGGTTTCTGGAAATGATGTGAGCCTGCTCCATTGCCATAGTACTACGGCATCTGTTCTGTCTGGGACACATGCATCCGGAATTGGAGGCCAAAACAATGAGTTCACAAATGCTGCTGAGGCCATTGATTCTGGGCGGTCGCCATATATGCATTTGTCTCGTGACATGTCTCCAATTGTCTCCATCCTCTGGGCAAGATACATGAAAATAGATGCATGATGATGCTCTTTGAGTCGACACCTCGATGGAGGGTACATCATCTTCGCTGGCTGCCCTCTTCTGCTATCAGATTGTCATGATTGAGGCCGGCCAACAGCAGATAGGTCACGCCACGCGATGGTCCAACATCCTTCTAACACCGAGCTTCTGAATGGAGCGTTTCATGGATGGTCACTCTCAGCAACCAGCGGGTACGAGTGCACAAAATGACACAAACACTCGAAACATGTTTGCTTTCGATCTGTCCTCTTGATGTTCGATCATCCCCATGCCCTGGCTTCAGGTATCAAATGCCTTCAACATCCTTCCAGCCAGGTACTGGCTCTTTGGTCTTTTCCCCTTCATCCAATTCTTTGGGCCAGATGACTCTGACCTCATCCTGCGTCCACCAAAAACAGGTGCCAAACCGGGTCTCCAGCCTGGTCTGCTCGTTTAAACCCGTCACATTGAGTTGTGGCAGGCCAAACACCTGGCGACGGCGATGGCGCACACGTTTTCCTCAAACAAATCTGTTGAAGGAAGAATCTCCAAAAGACCACCCTGCAAATCAACACATACAAAAACATGTAAACACTAAGGGTATTTATTATATTGGAGGAGCTGAGGAGTAGGACATGTTGTCTCTCACTGGTCCGGGTTTCCAACGAGTTTCCGAACCGGTCCATCGTATTTTGTTTTTAATGGCATCAGGCATACCGGAAATCATCAACAGCTGTCAAGGTCACATTACATATTATGTTCAATTCAGAGTTGCCCTTTATGCTGACGGGCCCTCTGACGAGCGGCAGCGAACTCAAACACCCGGACGATCATCGACGCACCCGCAGAAACTGATGGCCTGGCACAAACAAGGCCACGCCAAAAAAAGTGTGGAAACACAGAACAATCTGCTAATGACTAGCCTATCAATACCTATCGCATGCAGGCTAGCGCCACCGGCCGCTTTTCCTCTCACCGGCCTTTTCCGCCCTCGATCTGCCGCCCTTCGGGCGGAGGTCGCTCACCGCGTGGGAGACCGACTGCGGGCCGCTTCGCCCACCGCGCGGTAGAACTGCGAGAGGCGCTCCAGGATCCGCGGGGAGGGCGACGGCAAGGGAGGCACCGTCTGAGGTGTGTAGAAGGGATCCTGACAGGCACTGTTCGTGGCTCTTCCCAGGGGATCTGGTGATCTTCCAAAGTTGCTTATACTTATAAGATGTCAATTTGATTAAACCATCTGTTGGTGATTTGCCGACCTGTTTCAAGGTGGTGGATCTAGCTACATGTCTGGATCTCAACTTCTGCTTCGCTCAGGGTCTCGAAGAAGCTGACCGCGGTCAGCGTTCAACACCCAAAACAGCACATGCAGCAGGTAGAGATGGCCCTGAAAATCAATGGGTACTCAAAAGCATTCAACACTCATCTACTCATGCACTCTGACTCACCAGAGTGGAATGAGAAAACGGCCACCTTTGAGTGGAAGTTCCCGGTCAGACCGAGGGATCGGGTTCTCCAAGCTCCACTCCCATTCCTTGAAGCATCACGTCCAGCTGGCCAAGGCTCTAGGGGCCGGTAGGGCACGAATGCCGCGTGCAAGTCCTTGCCGCGCCTGGACACCTGCTTCAGCATGGAGGACATCACGCCCACGGGCACGCTCTCCGGGGTTTCCGAGGCCGCGCTCGGCAGGGCCAGGGCACCGGAGGCCAAGGCAAGTTGAAGTCCTCCAGGCGGAGTTTCGTGTCGTAGACCGACGAGGAGGGTGGGTTTTGGAGGTGTTTTTTGAGGGGTTTTCTCTGAGAGGTGCCAGGTGCCTTCCTTTGCGAGAACCACCCTCCCCCCCCAAAAAAAAGGTTGGCCGGTGCGGTGCGGATGAGTTCCGGTGCAGGGTGAGGATTCCTTTTTGCAATGATCTTCTTGACCCCTCTATATGACACCCAAGGCAAGCAGGAATGAATTGGGTTTGCCCTTCAGCCCCTGTTGGATGCCTGTGAGCGGAATTTGTCTGGCTGGCTGTTTGAATTTGATAGCTTAGAGGCAAGCTTTAGCAAAGCTGATGGAAAAATGAGAACAAGATAGAGACTCGACAGGAGGCAAACCAAAAACACCATCCTGGCCTGCTGGCCCAGGCATTCCTGGCATTGGCGGTTGCACTCCTGGAGGCCGTGGTGCCAGGGCTTGACACGGCACCAGTGCCCCGGGCGCTGGCGCTGGTGGCGGAGCCGCGGGCGGCTTGTCCGCAGGGGCCAGGGCCCCCAGGATATTGCCGACCAAGTTGTTTTGGCCTTGCCATGGATGGACCATCGCATTCTCCCACACCCCGGAAGAATGCAGGTCCAGTGCGGGTGATGTGAGATGTGTGACATGTGCGGGCCAGGGTTCAGGACTGGCATCGACCTCCACCAACAAAGCATCGAACCTCCACCTCTAAGAGGTCATGGTGTTTCACCATGTTTCACCCCACGGACTGGACGTCCACGTTTGTCCAGTCCACCGGCCTTGCATCTGCGAGACGGACATGCCCATTTGAACTCCAACCTGTTGCAGGAGCCGTCCAGATGGTGGAGAAGGCAAATCCTTGGCCGCCATCAAGATGGAAATCTCTTCCGCTTCTTGAGGCGTCAAAATGCTCTTCCTTGGCTGAAGGAAAAAAGGATAACTTGGCTGTCTTGGAACGACATGCATCAATGACGAGCACTATCTATCTCCCTCTCTCTCTGCCTGTGTAGTGTACCTAGGACATAAGATTTACATGCTGCTTTTCAGTGCAACCTCCCCAAACGCAAAAGAGTTGCTACCATGTGGATGGTGCGGCGGAGGTTTCTTCAAGGCCCCAGGGTTTCTATGTATAGGAAGACTATGGAAGACTATCATTTCCATTTCCCTGTGGCGAGTGCCTGCATGGAACATGTTGTAGATTCTCTACAAAGGCTTCCAGCATGCAATTAGTGGTGCAGCAAGCGCAAAGCTGTATCAAGGTATAAACACCAACTACCTATCATTGGATCAAGCGAACACATGTCACCCGCATATGAGATTTCCCGTACCTGACCAATTCCAAGTGAAATCGCGCTAGAAAACTACCCAGACTTTCAAGTCCGTATTGTAAGCTCACACCACCTGCTCAAAATCATGGGGTGTGCATTGAAAGAACCAAGAGGGGCCCCAAAGGAGGACGATGAACTAAAACCCAACCAGGTTGGGTGGTCCCCCTCTTCGACAACAAATTAACCCAAACAGCAAAAATGCTCGAGGAGTATGCACAAGCTTCTCCACCCACAAGTTCAACAGCTTCCGGATCTTCTCGCACCCTTCACTGTCCATGCTCTGGGCAATCTGGTAGGTAGGTCGCGCCATCCAAACCAAGCAGGGTTTGAACGCGGAGATCAGCGGGCCAGGGTTCCTCGGAGATCAGCGGGCCAGGCACAAAACATGTGAGACTCCAAGTTTGAGAAGAGCCCCTATTTACCATTTAATAAACGAAGTGTAAGTCCCCTGGCAAACATCGCAACACTTAGTCCGGTGGCTGCAACATAAGGCGGATCTTAGCTGCATCCACACAAAGGGACAAGGCACAGCAAACATCTGTTCGAAATGGGGCAACCGGGCAAACATAAAAGCAACAAACTGGCTCACTAACACGGAAGTGGAAAAGTGGTCCCTTGAAAAACTTTCTTGCTTTGGTTTCTCCAACTTCCATGTTAGTGAGTCAGAGCTGAGCGTAATAATCACCCAGCATCCCACCCAGTCGGCCAGTTTCGTGAATAAAGATATCGTGCAGCAAGTATAAAACGTGCAGTCTGTGCAGGCTGCTTGACAGAAAGACCATGCGCTTCATGATGTTACCTTGGAATCAATGATCTAAGAAGCCTCAAAAAATGTCGCGGATGTAGATGTTTATACTATGAATATAATATAATAGAATTGTAAGATATACGATGTAAATATATGATATATATGTAATATATATATATATATAAATATATTAATTTATTACTATATATTATATATATAGCTGTTCTATATTGTTCTTTCCTGCTCTCCCCTCAGTTATACACTATTCCTATCCCCTCAGTTAGGATTCAGGGAGAGGCTGAGCGAAGCTGCACCTTTTCCAAAAAACAGGAACTTCTTTCCAAGTGGGGGGGGCCTCCAGCAGAAACAACATGAGAGCAACCTGCAAGATTGCCAATTTGAGCTTGGTCACTCGCCAGCGCAGGGGCCAGATCCACTCGAGCCTCCACCCAAGCTCGGCCAATGGCAATGGCGTCTCCTGGGAGCAGCTGCGAAGCGTCTCATCGTAGCAAACACCACTCAAGCTCACCTACTCCAGCCACTGCCCCCCACCGACTTTTGTCAAAACCACAAGCCTCCTACAGGACTCTTGGGGTGTCGTGATTCCTATGAGATGGAACACTGACCCAGAACCCAACAACGAAGCCCATTTATTCTGAGGGCTAATGACATAGGAATTGGCTGGGCTAGTGACATGAGCTGTGGGCCACAGCGTTTTAAGTCATCAGCCAGTAGACTCAGTAGACTCAGGTACGGCAAATACATAACTTCAACAAGCAGAGAATTCGTGCAAAAGGGGGAAATATGACTGATGAAAGCTTCAGGCTCCTTTAGCTTTTCCCACTGGAAAAACTAGGTTGTCGCTCTGGAATTCAAGCAATCGCTTGCCGCTTTCCTATCTTACCCCCTAGTCGCCACATGCTATGTTGGTGGCAGACCGGCAGACCTGGGTCATGTGTGTTTTAATGTCAAAGACCTCAAACCATGCAATCTCAAGCATTTATGAGACAACATCAATGTGTGTGCCAGGGTCATTTGTATGTTTTGACCTGATGAGATAGGTTGCAAATAGGCTCGTTCCTCTATTTGTTCACCACCCATCGTTTCACAGGTCCTATCTCACTTTTCCTCAGTATGACAGCATATGTTCCTCTATATGCAAAAAATATGTCGAATGTTTGCTAGTCAGGGTGTAACACTGGGGACGTGAGATGGGGCGTGCTCACCCATCCCTGGCAGACTTAGCTGAACTTGGAATGTCAAGACCACGCTTGGTCAAGTCCCGCCAGGGACCATGATAAACATGTGCAGCTTAACATCTGTATCTCATGATGCTAATTTGATGTTTGATCAAAACCAGCCAAAACAATTCAAAATTGATCAACATAGCACCACCTCGTGTAGTAGTGTGGCCCCGACCTTGTTGTGGAAGAACCCTCACAAGATGTTGTTCCGCACACGGTCGCGGAATGTGTTCCGTCGCTGCCAATGGTCGCGCGGCAAAGATCCGAGGCGCGGGAGGAGCTCTTCTCCAAGGAGCTCAAGATTTCCGTGAGTTGCCGCTCGTGCTCCGGGCTCCTCAGTCGCACGGATGCCGATGCCGGAGAAAAAAACACTGAAGGCTCGAAAGGCCGTGGGGCTCGACGCTTCCAGCCTATCAAATGGCAGGTGGGTGGGGGGCTGTGTGGCGGGTGTTTGCTGCCTAGGATGTTCACTACAAGTGTTCACCCACTTGTTAGGGCCCATCTGTAAATTTATGCAATTTAATGGCCACCTCTAAAAATGACACCTGCATGCCATTCCCACCTAATGCTTGTGGGGAGCTCCTGGACAAGTCTCACTTGTAAGGTTTGCCGCAACTGCAAGGGTTGCTGGTACACAGCCTGAGGATGTCCTTGTCGAGCCGCCCTCCCAATGCTCAGGGTCACTGAGCCGGGCACGCAGTTCTCTCATCTTCACTTCTGTTCAGATCTCCCACGTGAAAACTCCCCACGGACCATCACCTGAACCCGGCTCCTCTTTCCCGCTCCGCTCCTCCCAGCGACGAGGACCGGAGAGCGCCGCGCCGCGACCGGACCACGCGACGCGCCGCTGCCGAGTCTCAAGAACATGACCTCCGGCGTCGGCCAGCGCTGCATCAACTCCGACAGTTGCGCTGCACCGGCCGCGCCGTTTGGCGGCGCGCCCGCGCCGGCCGCGCCGTTCAGCGTGGGCGGTGCCCAACGGCCCGGGCCCGGTGTGGAGGTACGGTGCGAGGCCAGGAGGGCTTGGTAGTACTCGGAGCCCTCACCACCCAGCAGGAACTGGAACTGCGGATTTTGAGCATTTTTACCTCGGAACTTCGTGTGCTTCAGAACGACAAGGAAGGCATGGATCGAGAGGTTTTCACCGACTCAAGTTGCTCTTTGATTGTCTGTCCGGAGATTCCACGACTACAGTACCGTCTATACGTTTTCTGGGCACAAACACCCTGCCACACGAAGAATGGCAGCTCCTGCTCACTAGCCGTCTTATTGGGTTGGCATCCGTCTCACATGTCCACATCTAGGCCAATCACTTACTGCGACCTATCAGAGTAATGGATCAACTTCCAAGCTCATCGGAAGCCATGCAAAGTCAGGAAACCTCCTCAGCTGGTTCACCCAAGCCAAATCAGCCTCCAAAATTCATCCAAATTGACATTAGTCAGTGTGTCTGATTTCCTTCATGAATATGCTTGTGGGTGTTAGACCCCCAGTCAATCAGAGCCACGCAACCAAGTCAATTGTTTCTTTCCATTTGATTAGCTGCTTAGCTATGGGGGAGGTTTATTTCTCATGGAATCAAACGGAATTCTCATCCCCTCTCATGGCCTCATCCAGTTTCATGGTTCCTGTATGTTCCTGATCTCATGGCTTCATACATACCTTCCGCTCAGATTCAGGCCCAGTGGACCTGGACCAATGCTACCACAGACCTTGTTGACCTCGGGGGGGTTTTCGTTCGACGTTCGTCACCGTTGGTGCGCCCAGGTGCCACGCACGGTGGTCTCAAAGTCCACACCTGGGAGCACGGTGGAAGCATGGGTGGGCGGAAGCATAGCACTTGAGCCAGTAGTTTGGTGGGCACATTGGGGAGGGGGCACCACTTCAGACTGAACCAAACAGGGATATTAGATATAGATCCATTGCGTGCGTTATATATATAGTTATATAGACTATATTTTGTTGTTGTTGTTGTTATCCTCTTCTTTTGGGGATCCCCTGACTCCCTAGTACACGGGGAAGCGAAATAAAACCCATTGCTCCAGACCTCCAATCACCCTTCTCCCAGGGAGAAACCCTGGTAACGTCATCTCGTCCCAAGCGTCCGTTCTTGGCCACGTGCTCCGCCATGATCTCGACGCGCTTCTTCAAGTCAGGCGCCAAGCCCACCGCGGCCGCGGCGATGGCTGCATTCGCCATGGTGAGGAGGCGAGGTGAAGGACGGAGTGGCACGTGGATGGTTTTTGCTGGCGTTACTGAGCTTATGGAAGGTTTTTCTCTCCCGGATGTTTTGGCATATTCATTTGGGATCATTTATGGTGTATGGGTTGAGGTTCAGACCTGCAAGCAAACAGGTTCCCCTTAACTTGGCTGGTCATCCCATCAATGGGTTTTTCGAGTGGTGGAAATCAGTGATGCCCATCTGGAAAGAATCGAGGGGTCTTTCAGAGAGGTACCATATATATACCCAATAAGGGCGTGCACTTAAAGGTGTCTCCCCTCTATTCATCAACTCAACCAATAATTAGAGGCCAGCTCGTTGCTGTTGTTGGGTCCAAGCAGGAAATACCACGGCTGTGCACAACTGGTGTTCGTTTGTTGGCTTAGACTTAAACAAACCCATGTTCATGATTAGTGAGGAAAAGGCACAGTTGCTCACTTAAAGTCCATTTGCTCTGCTATGGCAAGTCAGGCTGCACAGATTTCCTGGCCATCTTAGGCATGAGTCCGTTCTGGGCAAGCTGGACATGGCTGAGGCGATGGCTGGCGCACACTCTGGTACCAAGGTTGCCTACACTGCCCAGTGTCTCCATAGTTGTTCATTTGAAGACCAGCGAGTGGAACAAATGCAAAACATATATAAGGTGTAACTAGATATATATATACACCTATATAACATATGTAATATACATAATATGTATATTATATATACAGTGCTTACACGTGCATGTGATATCAATCAATGACCAGACCAAAAGCAAAGCATCGTGGTGTTCATAGCATTGCCGACCGATATGATGTGCACACATCCAAATGACTGCCAAACACTTGTTCATATCATCATGAGTTCTTCAAACGCTCAGATTTTATATATAGGCGTGCGATCCAGGATGCTCTCCAACCCTGGATTAGATTGGTTCATTAATAAATGAATGTTTAACAATAGGCGCACACCCGACATGTTGTCCTTCATGCTTCAGTATGCTTCAGGTTCTTTTCTGCCCTCCGGTTTTCATGCCCCGGGCCGCGGCACGGGCAGGCGCACCGTGAGCTGCTGCTCCACCACCTCCGTGCGAAGCTCTTCCTGCGTCTCCTGAGGTGACAATCACAACGGGAAAAGAATGCAGAATGAAGTAAGAGTGACACTGGGCGAGTCATGCAACATCAAAGCTGTCGCACGTGTCACTGTCAACCAACTTTATTCGGAAGTGGCAGCTCACCAACCAGCCTGTGGCAACCTTGGACGAAGGCGACAAAAGACCTGATTCGCTTGTGCCATGCTCACTTGTGAACTCGCACCAAGGCATGACGGATGTTGTATATTATATATTATATATATCGTAACAACTCCATATGCTGGTTCAGCAGGTTTCGTCCAACAAATCGGCCTGTGAAACGGATGAATAACGAAACACGTCAATCTTTGCAATCTGGAGCGCACAAGACACTTTGCAGTATTAAAGTATTAACTGTTTGGATTTTAACCTGCAATCATCATCACTTCCTTTAAATAAATCAGCTCCACTCAAATCGATGTATCAGGATGCTGCAGGTTGAAGATGCAATACGAACATATCCAACCAAACAAAGTAAAACATATATTATCTTATACGTTTTACACTCTACAGGTTCTGCATGGCTGAATGCTCCGTCGCCTGCCTCCCGTGACACGGACACTGAGTGCGGTGGCTCTGACATTGCCCTTGAGGTTCAAGATCTCCTCAGGACCGGACCCGGCACCCGGCGCATGTTCAGTACAAGGGCAGCGGGCCAAGGTCCGGATGTCTTCACAAAACCACTCAGTCTGAGGCATGAAACGTTCTTGCTTCAGTGGTTATGTCTGTTTGCTTGGTCTCTTTCAGTTCCCCCCCCCCCGCGTCGCGTCAGTTCTTGACCCACCTCTGGGTTGCCGGCCCTCCAACGCACGGCCACAGACTCTTCAGTGGACTTGGGCCTCCTAGCATTGTTCATCTTCTGCAGCACCAGCCCACTCTCCGCCAGCAAAGCCTTCACAGCCTCCAGACGTGGAATTGGAGTCGTTGTCCAAGAGTTCTCCGGAATATCGTTGGATATGCTCGGGCAGCCTTAGCCCAAGCTGAAGATTGCCCCTTCGAAAGCAGTATCCATGACTACCTCGTCAACTACACAAAATTGACCAATGACAAAACCAGCTCCGCAGTCGATTGGCGATGTGAGATGCATGTTCGAACTGATTGAAAATGACCTGGTTGGTTGCAAAAGAAGTTTGTACTTTTGGGTTCCCACCTGGAAGGGCATTCGTCTTCAAACGGAAGGGGGCTCTAATTCATCAACTGTCAACATTAGTTCAAGAGTCGGATTTTGCATGTGCTTTTCTTTTGTTGAGGTCTTTTGTTGCATAACATGAGAAATACATACAGTAACTACAGTGCTGATGAACGCGCTGTCAAAAGGAGATCCAACATGATCCAACTGCTAATGTTTTTCACCTAGTTCTTGCTCACTGTATCTCACTGTGTATCTTCACATATCATCACTCCATCATAAGAGCAAAATATTGATGTCTAAGTCTGAGTCTCTATGTTTCCAACTGTGGAAAATGGTTTCAAACTCAGATCTCTCTTGAGTTGATCCCTTCGTGGCCGGTCCCGATCGCATAATGCTACGCCCGGTCCTTCGCGCGAGGCGCCGAAAAAACATAGCGTGTCTTTTCGATCGCCCAAAGACGCGCTTGAGGGCCAAATGCCCGGCATGGCGGGCCCTCTCCATGGGCTGTCTGGGATGAAATCCATCAACATCATCAACCTGCAAGCTAAATCATGCTACATCTAAAACCAAGAAACATGATTGTGGTTTTGCTTCACATAGTGATCCGCAAATTCCTGCAACATGTGGAAAGAGTTTTCTCCGAGCCAAGTGAGAAAATGTCTGTGCCCCACAGGTACACAGACCATGTCTCAGGTGCGAACCACTGGTGCAGCCCATCGCCTCCTTTCATGTCACCGGCAACTCGGCCTTTCTGGGCCTTAAACCCTAAAACCCTAAACCCAGAAACCTCATGGGTCACCTGTCATGTTTCACCGGCCGTCTTCGACCCACGGACCGTCGCTAAGCACCGTGTAGACCGACGGATTTCATCGCTGGACCGTCGAGTCAGGTGGAGTGACCGGTCGATGGGGCCGTCGGGGCCCGGAGCCCGCGACTGGGGCCCTTGAAAGGAGAAGCAACAGAGACAGAAACCACTGGAGGACGTCAAGGCTCTAGAGATCAAGCTGGCAGCGTTTCTGAGGAGTGCTCAGCCTTTTTGAAAAGTGCGCACATGCACTGAATCAATCTCCAGGTTCATCATGGAACAAAACGAACATACGTGAACAAATGTGTCATGAAAATGCTCCTTAAATCAGCATATCAATCTCAAACATGGAAAACAACTTGTTTCTATGTCCAGAATTGCACTTGCCTAGGTTATCAAACATCAAACGGTTCCTTCCTGTGCCAGAGGATGCCTGATGGCCACCCACGCCACCCACACTCGACTCATGATCCGAGCCAACAAGGTGACACGAGAGCAAAAAGAGAGCGATCACAGCGGTCGGGCACAGCGGTCGCGCTTGGTCTATGAGTCTATATGTCCTGCATATCTTGGATGTCCATAATTCTATATTATGTCATTATGTCTATGATATGTTTATGATTCTATGTTTCAAATCTTCTTATGTCTATGATGTGCAAGGCCCCGCGAAGCACGGGTCATCTGAGGGTCATCAAAAGGGTCACAGCCATGTGTGAGTTTGGTTACAGCATTCCACCAATCCAATGGAACATAGAGCAAATACCCTTGTGGTACGTAGATTTCCCGCAAGCCGCGAGCATCTTCAACTCTTGGGGGAACCAGGTACTTGGGCGTAGGAAGCCGTGATCGATGGGTTACTAGGGTCAAACAGAATTCAAAATCAATTCTGACGATGTAGATGACACAGTCCCAAGTTACGAACATTCACCCATGAAGCTATTCTGGATCTGACCCTTCTGCAAAAAAGGATTAAACCCAGTTCTTCCTTGGACCAGCCCTGGCTATGGTCTCGTCTCAACTAAGGACCTAAACGGCCACGGTCACGGGGCGCAGAACTGGCCACGGTCGCCCACCTGAGAGCATTGCTGGACCACCTGAGCCCATCTTTTGATGTGTCTAGTGGACAACGTTTGCCTGGTCCCAGCAAGCATGGTGCATGGTGCAAGATGGTCTCTATCAGTTCTATCAGATAGAGATCATCAGCATGGTGCATCTATCCATCCATCTGATGATCTCTATCTGTCAATATGGCGTGCCTGCTCTGCGGGAGATGGATTGAAAACGATTGGGCCTGTTTTTTGAAGGGTATCCAATATTGTTGGCAATTTCTGGCCGAATTCCAACCAGTAGTTTCAATAGTGCATCAAATCAAAATAAGGAACCCTTTGGTAAGAAATCATGTCGTTCGGTGTTCAGCTGGTTCCTGTTCGATGTGTCGGTGGTCTTGAGCCTTGACTTAGCCAAAAGCAGTGTATACACACCATACATATAATTGGGTTTCTCATGTTTCTCCGGATTGTGATTGATAGAATGCACTTGATGTCTCTCCTCTTCGGCTTCGAACAAAGGACGATCTGACACACAGCAATGCAATCAATAAACCGAGTTCATGAAATCGTTCCCGAAAAGTGTTCTCACAATTGAAGAGGGGACCAACCAATTCAAGTGGGAAACTGTGATACTGACTAGGGTCGCCATGGGCCAAGCCCAAGATCCCGCTCGCCGGAATCCGTGGTCGTTGGGGGTTGCATTGGATCTTCGGTTGGAACCATTCACTTTTCAGCCGAAGACCGGGGACATATGGCCAAGGCGAGTCCTACCACCTAATTATGTATAATTATGGATTTTTAATGACTTTTATAGATATGGAATGGTGGAATCGACCCATTCAGAAAAATGTTTCTGGCACTGAGACTCACAATGGCATCCCTTCTGACATGCTGCCCCATGCGATCCAGCCACCCCAGTGGTGCGGGGCGCTTTGTCCCGCCGGTAGTTCCTCCTCGGGTGGGATGGATTGCCCGGCGCATCGGTTCCTCTCTGAATCTGTGGGTGTACGGTTTCGACTCCTTTTCTTGACTGAACCACATTGCATGGTAAGTGCTCTGACCAAAATGGTTTGTGGTAAGTTGGTCTTGCAGGTGACCATGCCCCACTCCCTTGTGTGATTCTTGCTAGTGCTAGAACGGCACATTGAGACGTGGTCTTGAATCTTGCACCTGAACATCATTGAACACAGCTGGACACAATCTTAATTTTAGAAAATCTAACAATCTCTCTCAATACCTCTGAATCTGGTGTGTTGTGTTGCAAGGATTTTGTGAATCATACCTTTCGAGTGAAAATCTTTCTTAAGAGCCGTCCATCTTCCTTGGCAAAGGGACGTCCTATTCTCGCATTTCTCACACCACTCTGTCAGTTTATTGCGGTTCTGTGGTGAAGGAGATTTTGTGGTAGGCCGACTGTGCTGAACATTCAGAAAACCCTCAGCAGTGTCAACAACCATATTCTTGCAAGACGGTGTGAGGGAAAAGAACTCCAAACGAGCAGGTTTGAGCCGCTTTTGGCTGCAAAAGTCCTTCTTCCAAAAGGTGTTGGAAGAGGCTCCCCCTCTAAGACTCTAAGAGGTGCTACACGTGGGCAGGGGCTAATGTACCCAGAGAGCACGTCCCAGCACTGCTGACCCAAACATGACACTTCCACCATGCTGCTGTACGAAGGCTGTGCGAGGGTTGGTGCTCGAGGACAGTGAAAATGATGATCAGCACTGCGATCACCTGAGCATCAAACTCTAGTGTGGGAGACCAAGCGAAACTGGCTCAAAACCAAATGCCGCCTTAATGATCAATCCCATCATTCCAAAAGGATCCACAAGGGGAGGTATATGGACAGGTTGAAACTAAACTGCGAGAAATGCACCACACTACACGTTGCATTCACCATCAACTGCACAACTGGGGTCATCCACAAGTTTGGCGGTTCGTGAAATATGATGAAGTATGAGACGCAACAGGAACAAGAAGCTACGAACGGGGCTTCTGGCATCGCTACTAGGAGCAAGAACGCTACGAACGGGCTCCTGACCTCACTAAGGAGCAAGGACGCTACTAGAAGGCGATGAGGCGATTCACCGAAAAGGTGCCTTTTCTTCCTTTAGGCGTCGTCCGGACCTGCAGAATCAGGAAGCATATACACTCCTTGAGCACTGGCTCACTGGAGCGGGCTCATACCCTTGGCGTCATATTGACACAGTGTCCAAATGCGCTGCATTTGGCCACATTCACGTGCAGTAACACGGACCACGATTGAAGTCACGCCTTGATGAATAGAACAACCCGGACATGGATTGCAAGATCTCTTCATATGGAGGTCTTGTCAAGCAAGAGTCTGCAATACCACTTCCATGCTTGGTGTTTGCCCTGGCCCGCAGGGACGTCTCCACAGCCCAAACACCCACGCTGCACGCCCACGCGGCACGTGATGCCGCACGCCCCGTAGCCGTGGCGCCACCAACAGCCCCAGCGCCAACCAGCGCCAGCGGCAGGCCGACTGCTGCGCGCTGGCGCGGAGCAGTTCATCGTGGCCGCGCTTGGTGGACTCCTGGCAGCCAGGATGAAAGCTGCTGAAGCACGATCCGGATGGGAGTGTCATAGGTAGTCTTAAGTAAACCACTTAGCATATCTCTGATGTGTGTTTTTGTCAAACTGTTAAACCAACAAATATACACCAACATGCCTTTCTCTTCAGGATCTCCCAAGGAGAGACCCACAAAGAACAAATACATACAGTAAACATCAGTATAAACATATATACAATGAATGGACAGTGAATTGGCTCTAGACTCTCAGAGTCCTTTCTAGACGTCACATTGTGGACATGACATCCTCTTGTTCTCCACCTACTTGGGCCCAGTCCAAAAGAGGACAGGAACAGTGCCTGGAGATTCCACCCAAGACGTCATCCGTTTCATGCCCCGGTTCCGGCCGGGCGCCCCGGGTCACCCAGTCAGGAACTGCGTCCAACCAACGACCATCGCAACCAACACCGGTCCCGGGTGGAGGCGATGTGGCTCCTTGGCGGCGAAGGGTGAGGTGTATGGACGGTTTCACCTTAGGTACGGACAGTATGGATTTGGACTCAGTATGTCAATGCTTGGGTCCTAGCTGTACCCAATGGATCCCAGTTACCACTATATAAGGAACCAGGGATTCTATGTCAATGCTTCCTTTGAGCACCAAAGCTTGGAGGGCTTTCCGGATTTGGGCCAAGATGAGGATTGGCAAACCCACCTCCAGGATACAGTGAAGTCACCCATTGATGGTCTTTTGTTCTTTCATTTTCTTGGACTCTTGTGTGCATCTGCTGCGATGGGTCTGCAAGTCCAAAAACGGCAACCTTCAACAAGAGCTCTCTGCAAGCAGTGCGAGTGAGATTCTTGTAGGATTTTGATGTGGATTTAAAGGGAACCTCGACCACTTCCCACTTCAGCTCACTCCGGCAGGGTCCAGTTCGGTCGCAGGGATTCGCCCCATGTTCTCCACTCTTCTGTGGACGGACCGGGAGCTCACCTCGAACCAGCGGTTTGGATGTACAGCTGCCCGCGAAGCCCTAACCCCCAAAAAGAGCCATCCAAGGCGGAGACGACCCTAACGGCTCGCTCCACCAACTGTTCCAGTTGTCCAGCACATGTATGCTGTTTGATTGGTCACTCACGCTGGCTCAGGTGCACAGCGAAACTGGTCGTCTTTCTTCCAAAAATCCTCCAGTGAGTCAAGGCCGACTGGACCAATGGCCGGGTCCTCCCAACTCTGGACCGGACGATCACCCGGACGGTCTGCGCATGACGCTCAGCGCATGGCTCCGAATGACTCGGTCGGTGCCATGTCACCCGATGTCGTTGAGGATTTCCCCCTGCGAGTTCACCAGGGACTCCACGTCGATGAAGAGCTGACCACGTCGACTGTTTCTCCATTCGGTGGCGGAACGAGTGGTGTGGTGACTGGACTGGATGGCGAAACTCATTAGGGGTGGAATAGAGATTAAGGCTAAGTCGACCTAATGTGATTTTGATATAGCAAGATTGGTCAAGCGGTGTGGTTTTTGGCACAAACTTCTTCGGACCGGACCCTCTTAGCCAAGGGGGCAGAATAACGGACAAAAATCATGAATGATACTGTAACAGGCGGTTTAAGAGCTGTAACAGACTGAGTCTTGAAACGTCCAAAAAGCAATCCAGCAAGAATCCATGCAACAAAACAACACAATAACCAGTCACACATTGGTCACAGTCATTCCAGCCGACCGACGGCGGGTCTGCCCGCGTCGCTTTCCCATCACTCCAAACCCGACTCCATCCGGCGCCTGGCTGAGATCCCGCGCCGCGCGCGCGAGGCTTGCCAGCTCATCACCTTTTGTGCGGTGAACCAGGTTGGGTTGTTGGGTTCAAAGGACCATATGGCAAGAGGTAAAGATGGCTGCCTTTCGGGGGTTGTTCATGGCTTAGAATGCTTAAGGGGCAGCTTAAGGGACTCAAACGGACGTGTTTACGGATGGTTTGTTGATTGGAATTCAAAATGACCCGGGTAAAACATGAACAACATCTGCAAAGATGGGATCTTTCACAGCTTCAAGCCTCCACACTAACGTGCCCCCAGGCAGGGCATGGCTTCATCAAGTTTCTTCTAAACCCTCCCGTTGAACGCCCTTAAAAGGAGCGTCTGGAACACTTGTGTCTTTTCAGATGTGTCCAATTGTTCACCAAGGCACAGCGTTCCCGCGTCGCTTGAAGCGCATTGGCTGTGGTCAAAGGTGCCGTGCCTGACAAACTGACAGCATGCATCACGTCCACCTCCAGATCGGTTACTGAAGAATGGAAGGCCATTGATGATTATATACGGTTTTTTGTGTTTGTCCTGGTGGGAGGGAAGGAAGGAAGGAAGGCAGGCAGGCAGGCAGGCAGGCACGCAGGCAGGCACGCAGGCAGGCACGCAGGCAGGCAAACAGGCAGGCAAACAGGCAGGCAAACAGGCAGGCAA